AGTGGAGGCTTCAGGCCAGCCACTGGTCGTACATAGTGCCTCAATACTGATGGAGGTTAGTGCTGGCAGCGCGTATTGTCAGTGGTGGAACATCAGGGAGCGAGGAGTGAGTTGCGTGCTCGCGGAGCGCGATGGGCCACACCATCTCTTGAGGCCACGCGGCTGCCATGGTGTCCGGGACGCACTGGGCGATGCGCCTGGCTCACAGCAAGTCAAGTAGGCTAATGAGAAGGTATATGCGTACGTTTGAGCGACTGAATTCCAAAAAATTGGGTTCTCGCTGTTGTCGTGTTTTTTCGAATCTCCGCCTTGCGTTCACGCTATCTTTTTGGTTTTAAGCTGGCTGAATCAGCCATGCATGGTCACTCTGAGATTGTATGTGGGTACCAAGCCAACTTCTGCCTGAGAATGGAATGTGAACAATTTCCACTTTGCTCCTATCTCGGGGAGGCTTGGAAATTCTACGACTGTGTAGACTGTTGTGCGTAAATGCTTGGCAAAATGCTGACACCCTAAGATTAGCTTAGACAAGCCGTATTTCTGGCTGATGTGAGTTTTACTGGTCGACGCGCTTGCGACCACAGGGATCAAGCAGAATTACAGATTTTAGGGCTGAACGGCGGCAAGGATCAAACGAGCCAGTGCCAGATCCCACGCGCACTAGTTCTCGAAGTGGAATCGGCTACTGAACGCACTAAAACCTGCGTTTTTGCTTGATCCCTGATGATGATTCCAATGATGAAAATGTATCTACAGTCGGTTTGCCCCGAGCGTGGAAGTATGCAGATGACAGGCTCGGCTACTGCGTTGAAGCTAAAAACTATGCCCAATTTGCCCGTATGTGGCTTGCAGGATCCCCAGGGTGCCGGACAGAAGGTTGACTCATACCAGACTCGACAAATCATGTTCAAGAGGCAGTCTAGGAGATGGAGAAGACTCAAGTAACCGGCCGATAGATAGCCTCGTATCTAGATACCCTGGCATCTGCAGTAATGCGGCACGAGTGGTAATACATTGGTCTGGACCTAACGGGCCCTGACCCGAGTATGACGTCCGAGGAGTAGAGGTTGTGAAAGCGAACGATTTGTCCCAGACAGTATGGACATGTGGTGATAGTAAGGCATTCGAGGGATCTCTGAGCAGTTTTTGATCCTGTGTATTGCGAATGCTCAGAAGTATGGCAAACATTACGTCCCTTACCGTCCGCTCCATCCTGCACTGATCCTGGAGTCCGTGGGGGCGAATTGTCCGCACGGCAATGGGACCCGCACGAAATAATTGACCCTGCGGGCCTGTCGCCCGCACTCGCAAAAGTCCCGTACAGACCCATGACATAATCAACCTTGACAATAATGGAGCCCGCGCGGGCGATTGGGGAGAGCGGGCTCGCTGATCCTCGGCGCCCTACGACCCATCGCTTTCCCAAGTCTGGGTCTCGCTTCCCGGAAAGGCCCACTTCTACCCGCCGTCGCCCCACTACACAAGGAACGCCTACCGGCCAACGGTTACGGGACATCTACAGCCCGCATACCACCGATGGCCGTACGGGCTCTTCGGGGCGCTAACAAAGTGACTTATAACCGCCTAAGCCTTCTCGCCAGAGGTAGATTGCTAGCTACCGTCCTAGCAATCTCGAGAGGATCAAAAGGCCAGTTAGATGAGGACTCAGGGTAGTCCAGGTTCCCCATCATCTATATCCCATCCCATGAAAGTGCTCAGGTTCGACAAAATCTTATCGGCCACAATCTTTTCCGCATCTACCGACGCGCCGTAACAACAGTCAAGACAGTCTTGGTCATCGGAATGACTTAGTATCACTAGATTGACGAATGTAACACGAATCTGATTGCATCATCCACATGGCAGAAACTTCCAACGAGGTGTGGTCCCGAGTCAGAGCCTCCCCCGTCAGCCACCACGCAAGTCACCGCTGGAGAACTATACCCTTCACAGGAGGAGATGCACTCGCATCGTGCCGACAGGACACTATTCGTTGAGACGCCGGGACTCCTCTCCTCTCCACGTATCACAGCCTCCACTCGATGTCAAGTGGGCTGGTCATATCGTATCGGATACCATCTGTGTCACGAGGGATCCAGATGATTCGACAGTTTCCTAGCTGCAACACGTGCTAAGGAAAGCGCTTGAGGTATATAAACTGCAGCCAGTCCCTCCTGCTGTCGTCTCTCCCTTCCTCTTCTTTCCTCTCACACAGTTCATCGATTCGTCATCACGTGTCCCTCTTCACAGAATGAACATGCAGTACGTCCAGGACACACTCGCCCCCCAAACTGCAGCATCAAGATCATTGCCGATGGGTGCGTCGATCTGGTTGCTGTTGAAAGTTGCGAGTTTCCATCCCAGAGCCAGCTCGAACCAACCCCCCCCCCCCTTGTCGGACGACCTCGGTGATTGTAATAAAAGTCTCTTTGACAATCACTCCGGTCTTGGTTCCTCCCAAGTCACGGCCGACGACATTCCAGCTAGCCTCCTGGAGTTCAACGATCTGGTCTTCGGCGATCAAGCGAGCTTCGAGGCAGACCCCGGGATTCCGACGCAGGGCTTGACGAACTCCCTTCGGTTCTTGAGTTCAGCACCGCTGGCAAAGGGACTAGGCAAGGGTCGGCGGCTCCGCCAAAGCAGGAGCACGTGTCTTCGTATCATAACGATCTTATGTGTCCCACCTCTGGAGAGGTCGATCTACAGCATGTCCAGACTGATCACGGGGCTAGTACCACATCGAGCCTACTCTGCAACAATCGAACTGAACCGAACGATGTCCCCATGACTGGGCAGAGCGACCACGTAAACTGTTTAATGATCAAAGCCCCTATGCGTCCGACCAGCCAATTGCGTCCCGCCCCGAAGGCGTCTCGCAAGAGAACGAAGAGGAGCAGCCGATCCAAGGAACTCTACTGCAAGCTATGTGGATCCTCCTTCTTTGCAACACGTACAATCTACAAGATTCACCTTCGCAGCGCGGAACACACAGAAAGGATCAGCGAGCTTGGTCTGGCAGCCACCGAAGACCATGGCCATTTATCGGTGAAGCAGATTCCAAATACCACGGAGCACTCTCAAGAGGAAGTGCGATATGCAAGCCCGTCTATGCATCTGAGCGACATTTTGAGCCCTGGATGCGATTTGCGCCTTCATGAATGCCGCATACACATATTGGGATTCATGACCGTCGACTGGGATCAGACTACCAACCAATGGACCGGAAAAGCGGCAGATAACCGGCCGTATCTCGAGAGCAAGGCTTATAACGAGCGGGGTGGCACGGGAGAAGACCTTCGCGAATATGGTGTCGATCCGGCACTTGCTAAAGAGCAGGTGAAGGTCCTTTTTGAGCCTGGCTGTGAGGACACGGATGCCTTTGTACAAACGCTGGTACTGGAGACGGATTGCGGGCTGGTGAGCTTTGTATACTGTGATGATTCGAATACTTGGAGCCTCTCCCGGAATGTTTGCAAGCTTAAGGTTTCCTGGCAAGAAGTTGCACAGGTCATGTTTATGGCAGTTTCATGATTTCGATGTTAGTGTTGTATTACATTGTCAGTGTCAGTAATTTGGATTATAAGTTCGTTTTCTAAGCCTCTCCCGACGACTTTTACTGAGTGCATGTCAAATTCGTTACAGGAAGCTCAATGTATGAGCGCCGGCTGGGGGCAATGGCATGGATGAGTTCGTGGAGGGCTCTTCCTAGCATCGGACCACAACCTGGTCCATTTTAGATGCTGTATGGTTGAAGACCCCTGGAGAGTGATCAGAATGGTACCTCGGTTTTCCTAAGGCTACTCTTTCGGAAAAAATGTAGAGACGATCTCGTTACATCGCCGACATGCATTGTGCTCATGCACATGCCTCTAAACTTACTTGGAATTCTGTAAGTGACCAACCTTCGTCACGTCGCAGCCTCCACGGTCGTGCCTGTGCATTGCGGCACAGCTCCGGTTCCCGCTACCCGGTAGTTCATTGTCAGTTTCCTGGCACTTCTAGATCTGGATTGCGAGATCGTGACCCATACATAACGCAACGGAGGAGCTGCATAAGACTGCTCTTCAGATGCCAACACATCGATCCACCTGCAACAATGGCACACAGCACAGAAGTGGCAAGAACTCAACGGCGCGCCCTCAACGAAAATTTCCGAAAGGCAAGCTAACCAAAACAGGAAAAGTACTACCCAGCGCCGGTCAGGTTTACACCGCAAGCGTTTTGATCAGCATTGGCATCGCTCCGATTGTCGAACCTAGCTTGTATTGACGCAGAGTACTGGGACCGCTGCCTGGACGATCACCCTCCGACAGCGAGGTTCGGAACACAGTACTAGACTCACCGATTCTACTTGTTGAATACAAAGATCCAGTGTCAAACACGGTCCTAGACGGCACGTAGCATGCTGCGATACGAAGACGATGGAAGGACGATCAGAAAATGGTCCGGGAAATCACACTCGCGCAGGCCCTCACAGCTCCTCATTCTCGTCAATCACATGGTAGCGGGGCAAGAGATGGCGGTCCAGATTTCTGGACGCTACATA